ACATGTTTTATATTTTTACACATAATATCATTAAGGATTTCATTTAAATAGAGGCTATATGGAGCACGAAATGTATTTGATCTTCATAGAGATACTTAGGACTCTGAACATGAAAACGACGCCAAATGGGGGTACGGTAAATATGCATCAATTGATCTGAGCCGTGCGTGATGAAATGTCATTTCTATCCGGAAAATATATATTATAATAATTAAACTTTGTTGGAACCTAACCCATTTGCACTATACTCATATTTGTTTTTGTGTTTTTCATATATTAAAAATTATACAGTATTGTCGCAATAAAATATTATAAAGTATATTGATTGTTTTAAAATCAATGTATTAATTAATATTCTCTTTCAATATTGAACATGAGGAATTGTCTCTAAGTTATATATTATATAAATAATAGTTTGGCTTAAATATAAAGCTTTCCTTGATCTATTTGAGCATATAAAAAAGTTAATGTTGTAACAAACTAAATTAATTGGGCCAGAATTATCACATCAATTTTCCCATTTGTATGCTAGAAAAATTGAAATACATGGCCATTAAAAAAAGCTTTAAAACACTTATTTAATTATCCATTACGGAGCATATTTAAATTTAACCTTATTAATTCTATAAATTTGATTTTAAGGGGTATTATTTTACACTTACAGTTAAATACTGGTTAATAAAAATACGATTACAATAAATAATTTTTTTATTTATTTTAAGCTTTAACATGATAGCACCTTAAATGTTAAAGCTGTTGATTTTAAAATTTACTTATTTATATTCATGAATAGGCCATATATATATATTCCCAAAGTTTATTTTTTCTTACAGCAGCTTAAATGGATGCCCCCTGTCACTTGATATGCAATTAGCCAATAAACCATTTAGGTGTCACCTTCCCTGGCTAGCCTGGTCATATGGTCTAGTGCACTAGAAGTGCACAAGGGTGGGAAGTTTAGTGTGAACTCAACTGTATATTATTAAACTAAAGTGCAATTTCTGAGGGGTCCAAAAGAAGGAAGCCCCAGTTATTGAAAAACATGGAAGTTTATTTTTAAACCTTGTGGGTGGAAAGTTTTAGGAAGTACTACCCACCAGAATACACATCAATTGTTGTTTGGATTATTAGAGACTACACAAAAATAAAAACTGCAGAAAAAGGACTATAGAATGTATTATTTTCTAATCTAATTTTAGTTGGAAAGTAGTGTTGTAAGAAAGTTATATCCATCAAATGCGTCTACTGAGTATGCTGTGTCCAATATTTGGCCTTAGGTGTGATGGATTTACCGTGGGATAAATAGAGCGAAAATTAAATGGGCCGAACGGCCGAAGAGATAAGCTTTCGTGTCTCCATCAGTGGTCAGTGTGCGAACCAGAATATCTTCTTTTGAAAGCTGCTCAGCAATGTCATAAGCCATCTTTCTTTCAGAATGAGGCTGCATATACTGCATTGTTGCAGTACAATCAAAATGGCCTGGACAATTGACATCAAAGCCCTTGTTCCGCAGTCCAGCAAAGTTTGTTTTGTACTGCTAACCCAATTATGTAGTTATAGCTTGTATGGTTTTCGATGGCAACACCATAAGCCTGTGAAGCTGCCTGGCCAGGATTGTATGAAGAAACCATTCTGGCTGCATTATAGGATTGTATGAAGAAACCATTCTGGCTGCATTATAGCGGCCATCAAACGATAAATCGAGATGTTTCGGATTTGGTTTGTGAAGACTCTTATTGTGCTGAACAACAAGCTTCCTTTTCTCAGTCATATCTGCATTATTTAATTGTACAGTGTTTAGGCTTGCTGTGTTTGTTAAATTTTGCATATAACTTCTACTAGGTGCAGGAATATCCATTGAAGTGAACAGCAGGTTAACCTTTTCTATTCCAATAGCTGTGTCTTGCAGTGTGGACGCCACTAACATGTTGATAGCAGCTGCTTGGCTACCCGGGCACTTATTGAATGTCTCCATTTTGCTAGATACAAATTGGCAGGATAAGCACTTAAATTGCAGCCTAGAACCCAGTCCAAGTTTTTGTTCACAGTGTAATTTGATGTTTAATTTATCACATTTTTGAGCACTGTGCTCTTCATAAACTTTGTTCATCATAGCAATTTGCTTATCTAAATTGATCACTCTATTCCCTTGCGGTTCACTGTCATCTTTCTTTTGCAGACTTTTCTGTGAGCGAAGCACTGGTTTTGAGGAATTTGGTGCCTGATTTTGGCTGAGATGTGAGCAAGAACTACTGTTGGTTTGTTCCGCAGCGTTCAAGTGAGGAGGTAAAATCTTGTGACCTTTCTTGAAAGTTCCACTGTTAAGGCGTCTCTTTCCCATTGTAAAATAATATTTTTAAGAGTATGATGGGCTTGAAGAGTAAATTGATTTAATACTTCCTATTCAATTATTTGAATTGATTGCCTTGTTCTATAACAATTTTAAAGGCCTTATCTGAATGAGAATTTACTTACAAAAGGCCATATATAGTACTATGGTAATAGAGATTGTTATCTTTACATGTTTATAGATGGTATTAACAAAGAGTGTAGTCTGTGTATGTATATACTTTGCTTTGTTTACTAATAAATTTAAGTAAAAGTCTTAATCAGGAAGTTTTATAGCAATTTTTAGGGAAAAAATCATAATAATGGCAAACTTTATGCCCATTTTTCACTATTTCAAACTTAAATTTTAAGCTTTTTATAAAGAAAAAATGGATAAATTTTACCATTTTATACAAACAAGGTATAATTCATGCATAGAAAACCTGTACAATATTGGCCAACAACAAAAAACTTTATTTCATGAAAATCTGTCTTCTATTTCTGAAGATATGTTATAATTTGTAATGCCATTTTTAGCTCGACTATTCGAAGAATATGAGAGCTATTGTAGTCGCCCCGGCGTCGGCGTCGGCGTCAGCGTCCGCGTCGGCGTCTGCGTTGGTTAAAGTTTTTTTGTAAAGTCAAATATCTCAATTATTTCTTGAGATATTCAATTGAAACTTACAATACTTATTTATAGTAACAAGGTACATCAGATTGACAAGTTGGATAACTCTGCCTACAATATTGATAGAATTATGCCCCTTTTTAACTTAGAAATTTTGGTTAAAGTTTTTTGTAAAGTCAAATATCTCAATTATTGCTTGAGATATTCAATTGAAACTTACAATACTTATTTATAGTAACAAGGTACATCAGATTGACAAGTTGGATAACTCTGCCTACAATATTGACAGAATAATGCCCCTTTCTAACTTAGAAATTTTGGTTAAAGTTTTTTGTAAAGTCAAATATCTCAATTATTGCTTGAGATATTCAATTGAAACTTACAATACTTATTTATAGTAACAATGTACATCAGATTGACAAGTTGGATAACTCTGCCTACCATATTGACAGAATTATGCCCCTTTGGAACTTAGAAATTTTGGTTAAAGTTTTTTTGTAAAGTCAAATATCTCAATTATTGCTTGAGATATTCAATTGAAATTTAAAATATTTATTTATAGTAACAATGTACATCAGTTTGCAAAATTGCATAAGTCTGTCTACAATATTTGCAGAATTATTTGCCCCTTTGAAATTTTGATTAAAGGTTAACAGTCTTCAAAGATATTTACTTGAAACTTTACACATGCACTTAAGGTCATAATTGGAGGGTCATAATTGTATGTCACTGACCAAGTTCCATAACTCTATCTTGCATTAAGGCTGATTCATATCCCCTTTTCTACTTAGTCTCTTGGTTAATGTTTACATGCAAGTTTTACATATCTCAATAACTATTAAAGATATTTATTTAAAACTTCACATATGCATTTAGAGTCATAATTATAGGTCACTGACAAAGATCCATAATTCTATCTTGCATTTAGGCTGATTTTTCTCCCCTTTTTCAACTTCGAAATTCATGGTAAAGTTTTGCTTGTAAGCTGTTATCTCAATAACTACTGAAGGGTTTGTGCCTTTTTTGGGACAATTTTATGCATTCATAATAATAAAGCAGTGATTTACTTGATAAAACATCTTTATAACAAGCCTTTGTACCTTTTCTGTCAAATTTATGTATTCATAGGTAATTAATATTATTATACTCAATATAAAACCTTTGTGACATTACCTTCCGAATAGTCAAGCCAATTCTGTATAATTAGACTCTCTCTAATGCCTATAACATGAATTTATAAAAAAAAATTAGCCCTTTTGTGAACTTAAAAAATTTAACAATATCAAGCTCTTTTACTATCAAGCACTTAGAATAGTCGAGCATGCTGTCCTACAGACAGCTCTTGTTTTATCTAAAATTCTGTTGGCCGAGCCTGATTTTCCGCAAAGTGGTCACCCTTTAAGAAATGCTCCTGTATCAATGTGAAATGTAAGATACATTGATTTCTTGATTAATATTACTTGTTCAACATTAAATTACCAAAAAATGTGTGTAAATGTTCTTTTAAATGAAATTTTATGTTCATTTAGGTGTCACCCCGGTACGGAATTAGACCCAGCCCGTTGTAGTCTAGAAAGTAGTTCTTTTAAATTTTGAAATGGCCTATTTCATATAATCTTAATTGATACTGGTTATATTTTAAGTATATCTTTAGTTATTATGTACATGAAGTTTCATTTCTGAGTACTTTAAAGGTTGTTTTTGGTGTATTTTTGCAGGATTTCATTTCTGGGTGGAAGGTTTCATGAGGCACTATGCACAAGAATACACACCAGTTACTATTTGGAATATTCTATAGTGATTACAGAAATTAAAAGCTGCAGAAAAACTCCAAGGGCTAATGTATTATTTTTTTGTGCTAAATTTACTTGGACTGCATTGGTGTTTAAAGAAATGGTCATGAAGTTTCGGTACCGGATTTGTTTTGTCCAGAATTTAGCCTTAAATGTGATGGATTTACTATAGGATATATGGGTCGAAAATTCAGTAGGCCGTGTCCGAACACGGATTCCGTCTTCCCGGATCCCGGGATGTTCCCAAACCATGTATAGGGAACAGAATTTAGACAAGAAAAATCATGATGGCTGACAGTGACGGCCCATTTTCTAATTCATCTGAAAATGCTAACCAATATGATCGAAGAGACGCAATATCAGATGGCATTATAGATCTTCTGAAGCCAACAGTTGAAGAGATTGATGACAGAGTTAAAACTGTGAGGTAAAGTATATTTCAAACGTATTAATTCTTATTTAGTCCGTGATATTGTGATCTGCATCAACAGACGCTTCATCAAATTAGAAGAAAATTTGTTACACACGAGACATTTTGTAATCATCTTGTCTCAAGAAGGATTTTTTTGTCACACCAAGCAGGTTTGATTTGTTAAGCAAAATGTTAAGGGTCAAGCCTGTCGTCAATTTGGCAATCAAGTTTGGGTATAACCACAGGAGCTTGAAATTCTATCAATAATCGCTCAAAAGTCCGATCTAAAAAAAAATCCATACCTATATATAAAAAAAACACAAGGAAGGAAACAACATTTTTACCCCACCCACTTTAGACAATTATCGGCAAATTGCTGTTGTCTAAAGTGGGTGGGGTAAAAATGTTGTTTCCTTCCTTGTGTTTTTTTTATATATAGGTATGGATTTTTTTTTAGATCGGACTTTTGAGCGATTATTGATAGAATTTCAAGCTCCTGTGGTATAACCAACACAGCATAATAATCAGATAATGGGTGAGAGTGGTTTCATCGAACTACCCGTTTGGCAAAGTTATCTTATATAACAAAACAGGTGGTGGTTTCAACGAGCTTAATTTATATATACTGCAAACAATATCTATCACCTCTTCATAAATTAAGTTCGCCGAACCGGTAGTTTGACGAAACCACAATAATTCATAATAGGAGTAAGTAGTTCAAGTTTGAATTTGGTTATGGTTCAATGATTTTGGACAAAGTTATCTCTCTTGAATTTTGGAAAAAATATGAATTTTCAGTTTCAGCACTTATACTTTTGTGGAAGTGACTGTTTATATGTTGTAGTAATTATTTTGGCTACAAATATGCAATTTACAAAAGGTTAACACTGAATAGTTTCAGTGCCTAGAACTTTATACAAAAATGACTTGTGTTAACATTGAATAGTTTTAAGGGCTTTAAGCTTTAAATGAAAAAAAATGTTTGTGCAAACAGATTTGGAGCTAAATATTAAACATCTGAAATTTTGGCTGCATGCGGGGGGCATCTGTGGCGTGAAGACACATTTCTGGTTTTAGTCATTTTCAATATTAAAATTATCAAACAGAATGTGTAATTTCGCACGCAAGTTATTGGTTCTGACCTTGTAACATCATGATAAAAGTGAACATGAATCTCAAAACAAAATTGCAGGACTCCAAGTAAAGCAAATTCATGTAAATACAATATGATATTAACAATGGATATTTTTGTCATTTTCTATTGAAGTCCATAGATAAAAGATGGAATAGTTATACATATTGCAGAATTTTTAGTGCATTGTCTGTTAACTAAAGTGAGGTTATTTTCTTTTTACTTCTAGAGAAAGCCAAGTTGAACTACGCCAGCAAATTGACAGCTTAGCTGGAGGTAAGAGTAATAATGTTTGAGTCTAAGTTTTCATTTCTTAAATATTTTATATGTAATCATTCTCAGTAAATATGAAAGCTGTCATAGCTTTTGTAAAGCAGATACAATTCTATCTAACTTACATACTGTTTTGAAAAATGTATGTTTGATATACATGTGATTCATAATCTATACACCAAGCTCCTTAAAGCTACATGCCTCCAGATGAGTCAAAATATTTCAATGATATCAAACTTGAGGAAAATGTACTAAGCTGTAAGGAAAAGTAAAAAGTTTCAAGATTCAAGTAATAATTTACATATTGTGTGTGATTAATGACTGATTGTTTAGTATAAACAACTTTTTGCTACTGTGTTACTAATGCAGTGAAGGTTATTTATGCATATTTTGACAGCTTTTGGTAATTAACATGGTTTGTAAGTGCCATTGATAATTTGTAAATTGCTTTCTTTTGGTTACTACACAATATTACACATACAAATACATTTTCAAAATTTTCATGAAAATTAGCATGAATCTGAAGGCGTGCTGCTTTAAAGTGAATAAATTTAAGCCATTATCTGATAAAAATTATATAGAAATTTAAAAACAATGAAATTATGTTGTTTTCATTAACATATCAAGCGGGCCCTTCTTTTCCTACTTTTTTTGATTGACCCCTACTTTTCCCTACTTTTTTCTTGAAATGCCCTACTATCCCTACTTTTTTAAGAAAAAAGCTCGAGGATAATTAAAAAAATCCATAAGTAGTAGATTGATTTTGATATAATCTTTATCTCAAATTTAATAAGAATCAGATGCTAGTTTAATTGTAGGAAAAAATTGATGGAAGTAGGTCATCAGTGGTGCAAGAGGGGTTCCATGATGAGGATGGTTGGAGCTGACATGGCAGAATCAGTGACTTTAGGTGAGTTTGCTTCTATAAAAAAATTACTTAGTGTTCAATTATTTTTTATGTTTCATTTCAAAATTATAATATGTTTTTGTACACAGACTAGCTTTTCAATTGTTTCATTTCAAAATTATAATATGTTTTTGTACACAGACTAGCATTTCAAAATTATGATATGTTTTTGTACACAGACTAGCTTCTCAATTGTTTCAATTCAAAATTATGATCAGTCTATGCGAAAGTCAATTTTTTTTTCAGGCCACAAGGACCGAGACCCTTAGGTTTATTTCCGGCCGGGATGATATTTTTCCGGCCCAGACATTTCAAGCATTATTTTATAATAACTCGGTTGGATGTAAAAATGATTGTCTTTCTTTAAATTAGTGAGACTATCAATATAGAAACATAAGAAGATGCTGACCAATTGAAATAACTTAAGCAGGGTTCTCGCTAGGTTTTTAAAAAGAGGAGTCCTTGGACTCCCAAGCACAGAAAAAGCTTTTTATTCAGGAAAATGGTAGTATGTCCCAAATGGAATACATTGTACCATAAAAGTGATTGAAAAGATTTGAAATATAATTTCAAAAACCCTACATCATCAGACCATTATGCTGTTTTCTTCCAGATTCACTCCACACACCCCCCTCCCATAAGAAAATATTCATTGTATGTGACAAACACATACTGGTAAATACCTCCATCTCAACTAATGTGAACAATATCTTTAGTAATTTTAATTCTTAAACTACATTTAAGTGTTATTACACACATTTTAACAAAACAAAGTTTCCTTTTAGTTACGATTTTTTTAATGATAAAAAGCGGCATCGCGAAAATATGTGACAATTGAAAATTTGTCTGTTTCCTGCAGAAACATTCACAATTCTACTTGTTGTTGATTTTGATTATATTAGATTAAATATTTTTTGATTATTTTAAGATTGTTACTCATCGGCTATTTCAATAGGCATCATAAAACAAAATTTTCAAATCTGTAATTTACGACAAAATTTACCGTTGTTGATGAAACTTTTTGAAGACAGAGCTGACTGGTATTTATTTGACAGGTACAAAATAGATCTAAGGTTGGTCAATATCTTCTTTAATAAATTCTTTGCATCACCGGGTACTTTTTATCAATCATGTCATTGATATTTTTGACTTTTTAAAAATTTTATTCGGACATGAGGACTGACGGAAAGGAATTTTTCTCGGACCGCATGATTTTTATTCAGCCAGGACCGAGGACCGACGGACTTTCGCACAGACTGTATGATATGTTTTTGTACACAGACTAGCTTCTCAATTGTTTCATTTCAAAATTATAATATGTTTTTGTACACAGACTAGCTTCTCAATTGTTTCATTTCAAAATTATAATATGTTTTTGTACACAGACTAGCTTTTCAATTGTTTCATTTCAAAATTATAATATGTTTTTGTACACAGACTAGCTTTTCATCAATTGTTTCATTTCAAAATTATGATATGTTTATGTACACAGACTAGCTTTTCAATTGTTTCATTTCAAAATTATAATATGTTTTTGTACAAGGACTAGCTTTTCATCAATTGTTTCATTTCAAAATTATGATATGTTTATGTACACAGACTAGCTTTTCAACTGTTTCTTAATGATGCGTATGCTGAGGGACAATACTTGCCAACATCTTTGAGCATTTATAGAATTTAGGCAATGTTTGGCATATTGGCAAGTATTGAAGTTGCTCACTGTGATAATTTTGTCCTGAATTAGATACTGGAAAATGTAATGAGTGTTTCTTCTAAAAAATATGTATTCAATTTGATAGCTTTAATATGGTGGGGGATTAGGAATCTTTATCTTATAACAGATAATTTAAGAATAACTAACTGTGTGTTTAGGCTTTCAGTGTGCCAATTATTAGTAATATAACCATTAAAGATGTGTTGCATCCAAAGTTTACTTATCAAGTTTTTTGCTTTCTATCTTTAAATACATATATACATGTATAATATGGCATAAATTAACTCATCTCTACCTGGGAATTATTTGAGACCTACTTACATTTCTCTCAAGTGTTATTAAGTTTCTTTTTAAATTCCATTTTACTAACAATTTATTATTTCAGGTCCATTAATTTATAAAAATTAACTTTACAATGCTATATGGACTCACAAAATTTAACAATGCATGGTTAATGCAAAAAAATGAAAATGGACATGAACCCTATTCCTGGTGTAAAAATGACTCTAACTCTGAATACAGTGGCTACTGTTCTCTCTGTTGCAAATCTGTCCAATGTTCAAATAATGGAGTCAAGCAACTCATGTTTAACACCTATCCATGTTCTAGTCTGTGTTTCACATATTACGCTAGCTAAAACCATGTTTTTGCACATAACATTTTTCTTGTTTGTATTTTGTAACAACCATGCTATATTAAACAAGGTTTTAACACATTTCCTGCTTCTAGTCTGTGTACAAAAAACATGCTTACTTAATGTTTATTAGTTTAATGTTATTATAGTCTGTGTTCTGACATATTCATTGTATATTATTATAGTTTTCTGTTATTATTTGGAATTGGATCTAATAAAAAGAAATACCAATTCCAGGTTCATGTCCAGAGTCATCCTGTTGTGGAATCCCTATTGAGACACTGGTGACTGGTTTCCTAAATGAAGAAAATGCCATGGATATTAGTTGATAAGGGTCTGTATTTGTTTTTGCATCAACTTTGGAAAAAAGGTGAGTAGAGAGTCCTACTTTCCCTACTTTTAGGCTCTGAAATCCCTACTTTTCCCTACTTTTTTACAAAAAAAATCCTACTTTTATCCCTACTTTTTTGTTATTGGCCACTTGAAAGCCTGCATATGGTAATTTCTTTTAAGGACGTTTTCAGGAGTTTTCATATAGACATATAGGCAAAATTAAAACTGTTCACTAGAATTACTTTAAACTTGGCATGTTGTAAGAATATGATAACAAAAACATTTTAAGCGAAAAAAAAAAAGCTTTAAAGCATGTGACATGAATGATTAATTAATATTACATGGTTGCTTTTCAGATTTGCAGGTAATATCCAGTAGCCAGACTATATCGGTGGACTTGGAATCATATGTGAAAAAGTTAAACAATTCAAGAAGGCGTGTTATGTTAGTCAATAATATTTTACAAAATGTTCAGGTAAGAGTGACTTATATTCTTCTAGCATATTTTAACTTTCAATACTGCCTAGGTGCTGTCATGCATTTTAGCCTAACTTAATGAAAGATAGAAGTTACTCAACCGGGTGCGGGCCTGACACGGGATTTAGCTTTTGCATATATCTATTTATAACATATACAAATAAATGTATATAGAGGATATTGAAATAGTGTAGGTTTAATACTAAATTTATTGAACGAGTTGAATAAAATCATATTATATAGTTTTATTTCAACGAGTTCAATAAATTTAGTATGAATCTACACAAATATAATATTCTTTTTATCACATATATAAAATAAGAACGGTGAACTGTTAAAATGAGTCATTTTGCAATGACACGCCTATAGTGTAATGCTTACATTAGTATGTATAATTATTTATATATAGCGCAAATGACGTCACATCAAAGAGTATTTACACTAGTGTAATATCGTTTTTATTAAATGGCTTTGTTACACTCCTGTGCTGTGTTTTATGTGATAAAAAGAAATAAGTAATGATTGTATTGCATTGAAAACAACCGGCATCATGTGATTAATACATGCTTAATACATTTGTTACTATAAATAGAAAGGAATTTTAAAACAATGATTGAATTTTAATTAGTTCTGAGTGTAAGTTGATTGATTAAAAGTTTGCGGCTCTAAGGGCTAGAAAAATCATAGCTGAACATAGGCAAGTGCAAAAATGGTTTGCTGCCTGGGTCCAAAAATCATAATCAGTCTGCTGAAACAAGTGCAAAATAATAATCAAATGTGACATGTGTTAGTTGACATCCTCAAAGCAGGCTAGCTGGAAAGTAAAAGCGGGCTTTATAGTCAGGATGGCTTGATTTTGAGAGATAAAGCACTTGCAAAATTGATTCTACTGAATTTGTATCTATAAAGGGAAGCAACTCTGTCTTATCTTTAGAGGGCTCTGGAGTTTTAACAACAGAAATATCAAAAGTTATTGTAAAATCTATTTCATCTATTAAATGCATTTATACTCATTACAGTTTGGAAAGTAAAATTTTCCCAAACAAAAAAAATTCCCCCCCCTTTTGGGGTTTTTTTGGGAAAGCCCTGGGGGCCCTTTTTACTTTTTTAGGGGCCCGGGTTTTTTTAACTTTTCCCCTACTCTCTTTTTTTAAAACCCTTTTAAATATGTTTAAATCTCAAAATTTTATTCTATAAAAAAATTTTTTTAAATCCTTTTTTTTTTTGTGGGAAGATTGCCCCAAAATTTATAACAATTTTTCCTAAAAAACTGCTCACGGAAAGAATTTTACTACCCCCCACCAGGGGCTGGAAACCCAAAAATAACCCATTCAAAAACCCCATTCCCCCCCAAGCTTATAAAAATGTATATTCTTTTCATAAAACTATTTACAATGTGCAAATTTTTATTCACCTGAAAGAAGGCCCACCCTTTTTTGGTTGAATCCTGTTTGGGGAATATAATTAATTTGAAAATTTCTAAAGATAATGAACCCCTGATGTGTTTTTGGGGAAAATTTTATATTGTATATAAGGTGTGATTTTTGGTAGTTTGAAAAAAGAATCACAAAAAATTTTTTGGGGTTTGGGTAATCAATTAAAGGGTATTATTTATAATAAGAGGGTGTTTGGGGTTTAAAATTAAATTTGTTACTATGGGGGATTTTTTTAAATAATTGTTGTAAAAAAAATCAAAAATTTTATAAATTAAAGGGGGGGGGTTTTAAAAATATTGTATTAAGGGTTTTTAAGATTGTATATTCCAGTAAATTAAGGGTATTGTTAAAAAAATTGAATTTTGGTTTAAAAAAATTTTTTAATATTTTTAATTGACCTTAATTTTCCTGACTATTTTTTAAACATAACAAACCAATTTTTATTGAAATATCTTTTTCCCTAACCAAAAAGGCAGTTTTCTGTTTATTTTAGCAGCCGACCTTGCCCTTTAGAGTTTTAAACCAAGGTCTTTCAACATAATTTGCTAATATAAACTATGTAAATATCCAAGTTTTTTTAAGATAAGTCAATTTTTAACTTAATTATTGACCAACCATATCAAACAATTTAATAGTTTAACAACTCCCCTCACACCATTCACCAAATTAACCCCAAGATTTTTGCGGGTTCCTCCCTTAGTCAGATTATTATTGACCGCCTCCGTGTCGAGGGGTTTAGAGTTCGATACTTTAATATTTACCTCTCTGGGGAGGGTTCGATCCGGAGAGATCTTTGAGTAGTTTAGCCCGGAGGAATAGTTCTAGTTAACTAAGGTGATAACTCTCCAGGGAACTATGGTTAGGGGAAACTACACCCGCCTAATTATGTAAGAAATACTCTTAGGGAAAAGGCGTAAATGAAACAAAAAACAAACAAACTGTTGCCACGTATAGGGATCACTTTTTTCCTTCATCTGTCCATGCCCCCTGTCACAAAACTTGTCTGGACTACTCTCAGAAAACTGCTGACAGTGACACAGTATAAATTTCCTCCAAACTTTACAGGAATATCAGGATTAAGTTAGTTGTGCTTATTGTCTGCAATTACTGTCCAATGACTTTGTCAGAGTTATGGACCTTTAATGATTTTTAATATCAAAGTTGTCTGGACTTCTCCTATACCCACTGTAACTTAACAGGATATTGATATTTAGCTCAAGCTCTTGCACATATTACACAGGTTTTCCAGTTAAATGAGTTATGCGTCCTTCAATTAACAAAGCGATCAGTGATCACATGTGTCACCTCATCATAGTCAATTAGGTCCCAATGTTACAGCTACTGACTGTAAGCAGGAGATACAAAAATTCACTAAACAAGCCAAAACGTGTTTTCATCAAAAGGCCATAACTCCGGCAAAAATCATTCAACCGAAAAAACCCATGTAATTGCACAAGTACTGTCAGTTACACCGATAAAATGTCAATGGAGTGCCTATGAAATGAATAAAAGAAATGAATGGATGAATTAATAGATTGAAAAAGTGGAACTCTTTGACCAAGTGGTTATCATTGCCACTCCGCATTGCTAGCTGGTTAAAATCCTGTATTGAGGGTCTTTGGATTCTTTCATATGAGGCAGCTATCCAGAAGAGGGTTGGTTGTTCTTCTTGGTGCCTGCTTTGTGCCTGAAAAAGGAGATACCCATGGTCTTTCTCCACCAGTAAAACTGGAAATGCTCACAATATGACATTCATATTTGTCCGTGTGGGACTTTAAAAATCCAGCAAAACAAGCAAACTTTATTTATTAAGTAAAGGTAATTTGGTATACTTTTTCCTCCACAGACAGAAATTAGACGGAAGCAATTTGTAATCTGTAATTTTACACATTAAATGGGACCAAATTACAGTCAAGTTTAACTTATAGTATTTTCCTGTAATAAAATGACATATAAAACACAAAAAATACCAGGAAACAGTATATACCCATAATCATTTATACGGCTTTTTCCCTTACAGATTTACCAAATTTGTTTCACACATATTTTGTAACTAAGTACCATAAACTTTCAGCTTTTACTTGTTATGTATTTTTAAAACTGGTAAGAAAATGTAACACTTCTCTGACAGAAGATATATACCTAAAAGGAATAATTATTCTGTATGAACCCACAACAGTGGGAGCAAGCTGTTTCAAGTCAAAGATCTTTATTAAACAATTACTTAGAAAAAGAAGCCTGCCATGGACTTTTGATTCTGGCAAATGAGCTAGCTTACTAAGAACATTGCGATTCTACTCAGGTGCCCGTTGGTGCCTGAAATAATGCATAGGTGTGATGTTAAAAACCAACTAAAGGAACAACCTTTATAGTGAAAGGAAACAAATTGTTCAGCTATGCCACCAACATCTATGACTTGCCTATTTATCTGTAATTTTTTTTCCAGTCCTTTACTGTACTGTAATAATTTTGAGATAAGAATCTCAAAACTTCACAATGAATTGTTTAAATTTAAGCATCACTCAACTTGAACAAGTTATATACAAAAATGAATGTTTTTGTTTTGGTTGTGAGTTCAAACTAGCTCTTTAAAGCTACACGCCTTCAGATGAGCCAAAAATATTTCAAGAAAATCAAAACTTTTTACGAATATAAACTTACATTTTAAGAAGAGGATTTAAGTAAAAATTTACATGTATTGTGTGATGTAGGATTGAATTTGATGTATTTTATCACCATAAATCTACCATGTGACTAACACTGAGTAAGGGCTTTTTTGCATATAGTTTATCCACCTTCTGGTAATTTACGTGGATTGCAAGTGCTGTTGTGTTTGCAAAATGCTGATAACTTTCTTTGTTCACTTCACAACATTATTCTTTAAAATACTTTTGTATATTTTCAAAATTTTCATAAAAAAAATGGGTCAAAGACAGAAAAGGCCGAGTTGCATTTGTACACCAAATATCATGAGGCTGTGATGTTACGAAAAAAAATTTCAATTGACCCATTTATGCCGAAAATTACGAAAAAAAATTTCAATTGACCCATTTATGCCGAAAATTTAATTCAGTAGGTAAACAGGAAGTGGTTTAGCTACACACCTAAATTGAATCCCACAGTATGGGACCATATGTGTCTCAATGCTGTATGCCAAATATCAAGAGGCTGTGTGATTAGTTAGTTTCTGAGAAAAATGTGTACGAAAATTTCCTACCAGTGACCATTAATGTGAACAGGAAGTGGATGAGCTGCAGACTTGAAATCGAATCCCACAGTATGGGACCATGTGTCAATGCTGCTGCATGCCAAATATCAAGAGGCTGTGATAAGTAGTTGCTGAGAAAACTGTTACGAAAATATTCTACGTCGAAAAATCTAACTTAATTTAACTAAGTGGATAAACAGGAAGTGAATGAGCGACAGACCTAAAATCGAATCCCATGTATGGGACCATGTGTCAATGCTGTATGCGAAATATCAAGAGACTGTGATAAGTAGTTGCTGAGAAAACTGTTACGAAAATTTCCTACCATTGACCATTAATGTCGAAAAAAATACTAACATAATTTAACTAAGTGGACAAACAGGAAGTGGATGAGCGACAGACCTGAAATCAATCCCACAGTATGGGACCATGTGTCAATGCTGTATGCCA